GGTTTAAGGGAGTTGTTATTTTTTTTTTTTTTTTTTTTAAGCAAAGCATTTGTTCAATTTTTTCAACTTCTCTTGGGGGTTCTCACCAAAGAGTTATTACTTGTACTTGCAAAAGCTGTTTTAAGCAAATAAACAGGACTCAAAGGGGCTGTGAGTACTTGATCTGTCTTTTTCAAACAGCCCACATTTTCAAAGGCTTTCATGATCATCATATGGCTATTGGTAAAATAATTTGCATGCAGAAGGGGTCAAGTCAGGGTGTCTTTCCTTGGAGAAGCCATTTTCCTTGGAATATCTTTTTTTTTTTTTTCCAAAGGAAATGGACAGGGTCCCGTTGCAGAAATAGCGTTCCACCTGGTACTAGCATTTTAAAACAGTCCTATTCTAATCCATAAAACATTTCTAGTTTTCCCTGCAGCTTTGGGCTGCCTTGCGCATGAATAATTTTTGGAGAAACACCCACGCCCCGTTAGCCCATTGTTCGTAAGTATTGGGTGAAGATTAAGTAGAGCCTGGAAATTGTATATCTGCGAATGCCTCGGAATCTGTCACAGGGAACCAAAGGAGATAAGTGGTTTTTACTTTGGAAGAAGAGGTAAAATTCCCCTGTAGAAATTCTGAAGATGATTCACAAATTTCAAAATGTTTAATGCTTTCCTACAATGGAAACATGTCTCTCTGTCTGTGGGGAGGAAAATGGAAATATGTATCTCTTTCTCCAGCTCAATCTTTGTCTAAAAGTATTTCTTAGATATTTTGAGAAAGTGCCACGTAGGGGAAGGGAGAAAATGAAATTAGCATTTTAACAGCACACAAGGGGAAAAGAAACCGAAAGTTCAGTTTTGATTTTTTTTTTTTTTTTGGCTAATGCGTGTTCAAAATAGATACTTTTATTGCTGGTTAGAACTACATACGTGTATGTATGTCTGTTTTAAAGCCTTCAGTATATTTTATTATCGTTATTATTTCAGCATTCATTTACACACTACTATTCTTGTTGCAGAGAAGAGACGATAATGTGCAAATGACATTTTTATGCCTTTTTTTTTAAACAAAAACATTGAACGAGCTTAAAATATGAAACCCAATAAAGAAGATTTGAACACAATCAGATAACCTGGGAAGTGACAGATGAAAAAGCCACAGAATGCAAGCACCTTGGAAAGCCTGTAGTCTTTGGATTTTTTTGTGATAAGGGCCAGAGACCGTGGAGAATAGCAGGGAAGCTCAGAGGTATATACATGCACACACATATACATACACATATGCACGTGTGTGAGTATGTCTAATATGAGTGCACACCCACACACACCACCTGCATACTATCTTCACACACATCTTGTTGCTTACTGAGAGCCTCATAAATCCTCCCCAAATATGTCACTGCATTTGTTTTCTGCATTTCAACTAGGTTCAACGGCTTGAGCCTGTGACATTAATTATGCAAGATTCAAACGACCAGGCAGGCACAATTTTTTTTCCGGGGGGTGAATTTTAAGAAATCTATTTGTGACCTGAAAGAAATTCTGTAGGGACTGTCTGGGCTATCCAATTTATTCCATGATCATGTTCTGTTTTTAGGCCTTGACCTATTTTTAAGCTATTTCCTCTCCGTATGCTTTTCAGAAGGAAATTTTTCTTAGTCTGAAATACTATCACTTTGACCCCGTGTGAACTTTGCCCCCAGATGTTTGGGTCTTAGCTATTTTGGGGAGTTGTGGTAAACAGCAGCAGGACTGGGCTGTGGGGTGAAGTATTCACCATTTCGTTGCACCTGGAACAGTGCTAGGCACACAGTAGGTACCCAATAGTGTTTGTTGAATGACTTTGCTGAAGAAATTGTGTTTCCCATTGTGCCTTGTGCTGCGTACTTGGTGCATTTGCTGAATTACAAATGGGAGCCAGATTCGTATCATTTAAATAGGGACATAGATACTTCTGTAAATGGACGTTTTCATTTGCAGCTGGTAGGTGGCCTTAGCTGGAAAGAGAGATGGGGAAAGGTACTCTCTCAACTGTCACTGATGCCAAAGGAGGGGGCGGAATGGAGATCTCGAGGATAATTGATGGGATATTTGCATGTCGTTCTTAGGTCCAACTTAGCAGAACTATGCTCATTCAGAGGGATGAAAGGGGGTGGTAGGAAAGAGGATGAAAAGCATTCTCCTGAGTTCCTTTTATTTAGTTTTTCTCTCTGGAAGTTTCTAGAAGCCTCAAGGGGCTTGCCAAATGAAGACAGGGCTGGTCTCCAGGAATACACCAAGAGCTGTATGTCGCAGTGCCAGCCTGGCTCTAGTTTTCTACGGGGCACATTAGCAGCTGCTCCCAGTGGTGACATGCGTGGTGGCTATGTGGCGATTTATGAATCTTACCAAATGTATCAATGTTTTTGTCTCTGGCCTCCTCCTCCCACCCCTCAGACAGTGCACTAACAAAACCATATAGAATATACGTTGAAGCAGATAGCTTAAATTTATTTTTTCTTTCTTAGAAGGGAAACACTTTCCATGGAGTTGAGAATTGGATTGTTTCCTCTTAGGTGCTCGAGCTTGAGCTCCAAAATTTGCCTTGGACAGTTGCAGTAGGATCGGAATTATGTAACTTTGCCTGATAACCCTGGGTTAGAGCAGGCAATTTTTAACAGCTTTGAGAACCCCAATGCTAATGCATTGATTTCCCTTTATTAGAATTTTGTTGTTGAAGGACAGTGCTCAGTGGAGTCCACCCTTCAATCTTAACCCATCCGAAGACTGTTCCTTTCCAGTTGAGCTCCATTCATTTCTGGTTGAATAGGTTAAGCAAAGACAGACCTTGCTGTTCTCAATTCACTTTATGATCCTCCCATCATAAAAAATAATATCAGCACCTTGCTTTTCATGTCAGAACTACATTTGAGCCGCGATTCCCTATGCCCATGAGTAAATCCCATAAAAGCCGCCCCGTTGTACTGTTGCTATTTTTCCTTGTGGGTGATTGATTGATGGATGAGTGCTGACACTTCAATGAAGCTATTTCGACTGCCATCTCAATCCGATGATGTGAGGGGTATATTTTCTGTCCATGCCTCATTACTTCAGAATGACATTCCTGGAACTTCATTTACTTTTTCCCTCCTTCCCCGAAGCGCCATATTTTTTCCCATCTAGGTTATGCATGCCATAAAAAAAGCAATTTGCTATTATATGTGGCATAAGGGCAACACTTTCCCTAGGAGGTAAATAAGAAGGTTTTTTTTTTTTTTTTTTTTTTTAAATCCCAATGTTGAATTTAGGGATCATGTCAAAATTTCCAAAAGAATTCCAACAGGCAACCTCCATGAGAGATGGTGAGAAGGATATATTTGGCTTCATTTTGTAAATGTTGAGTTTTTTTTTTTACTTCCTACCTTGGTAATTAAAGCAATGACACAAAGTCTTTCTTTGTTTCAGAGTCATCTAGTTTCTAGTGCAGTGCCTAGAATAGTCTAAATATTTTACCTGTAGCTGAATAGCAGTTAATAACACAATCCAGTCTTATTTATCCTTTGAGATTAAGGAAATTCATTGTTTAAATGCAATGATGGATTTATCTATAATAAGTTGCTTTCAATTGTATAGAAAATGCTCATCTAGAGTAAACAGATCTACCCCTGCATTTTCGAATGCTGCACTAGGTATGCAAGACTTTTAATAGTAAAACATGCTCTTAGCTTTTCCAAGTTGACTTAGGACCTGATTTTAATCTGTGTAATACAGTATTCCCGTTAATAATAATGTATAATTAAGACATCCGTTAAAAATCCATAACGTTAATTTAATGGAGAAAATCTAATACAGTTCTATTGGAATTTTTACGTTAAATTAACTTTAACGGGCTTTTAATGGATGTCTTAATTAGATCTCATTATTAACGGGAATATTCCACAAATTAAAATTGGGCCCTCAAAGTTTTAATGAAAAAAGTTGCAGGAACACATTTAAAATGGACACCCTATTTCATGCTTTCTGTAGCTTCTGAAGCTAAACTGCTTTTTACAGCCCATGTACAACAGGTCCTGCAGAAAGAGATTACCAGAAAAGACTGCCGCTGAACTTTCCACCCTGCACTGGTCTCATCCTGCTTTCTTCAGATCCCACATCTCATCAGTTCTCCCAGTTTGCAGCTCTCATGACAGTGATGCATGCTTAGAATGATTGTTTTTTCTTTCTTTCTTTCTTTCTTTCTTTCTTTCTTTCTTTCTTTCTTTCTTTCTTTCTTTCTTTCTTTCTTTCTTTCTTTCTTTCTTTCTTTCTTTCTTTCTTCTTTTTTTTTTAACCAATCAAGATGACGCTGATGCAAAAGATGCCTACCATTGCTTGGGGAAAAGTCTTTGGCAGCAACATAGTTAAGCCTAACTTTCACAGAAGATGAACATTGTTCCGAGGTTTTCTTGGCTCAAACTCTGGTTTAACTTAATAATTCTTCTGCTTTGCAGTGATTAATGGCTCCCTAGTGCAGGGGCAGGACTGGGCAATCCAGGTGCAACCGTAATTGTTACACTGAACAGAAACATTTCCTTTAGACAAACGTTCCCAGAGGGGTTATAAATAGGAAATGGACATTACCATGAAAAGTAAAGCTTCCAAGTGTCTACATCTAGTACAGCCCACTTGGACATTAAACTATGAAGACTTATACTCCCCCCACCCTTTCCTGTTACAAACTGACAAAATAAGTACATTAATGTTCTCAGTCATTATTTTTCTTCAGTGGCACTTTGTTTTCTTGTGACAGTGAAAAGGGGACTGTGGAGACGAGACAGCCCCATTGCAGTTTATCAATGAAAAAATCTAATATCGTCCATAGCAGAGAAGTGGAAATCAATACTTCATTACCAAATTGTTAGTGAGGATGAAGAGAAATGGCTGGGGTGATTTTTTTTTTTTTTTTGGCAGTCTTCTTGGAGCCAGGGTGTCAAGAGGAGTTCAATGAGTTCAATGTCAAAGCAGAGAGGTGCAATGAAGAAGGGCCAGTGTGAGGGGTCCAGGCTGGAAAGTTGGAGCTAAGGCATTGGTCCTGTAACGGGAATCAGAACAACAACAATGCATTATTTTCTGAGCCCAGGGGTTATTTCCTCGGCGTCGTCAAATCGCCCACCTCTACAATTTCTCTGGACTAATGTTCTGAGTAGAGTCATAGTTAAGCCTAGTCTAGGGACATAGAAAGGAGGAACAAACTTAGAAAACATTTAAAATATACTGTATGAAGACGCCAGTAGGTGGCATGGTGGTTAAGGTACTGGACCCCAACATGGCTGACTGCTGTTTGAATCCTATACCTGGATGCTTGAAAATCATGCCAGGCACATGTGTGTGCATGCCCGACATCCCAGGAGGAGAGTGGAGGAGAGGGGATTGTGGTGTAACCATGCCTTCTAGGGGGGGTGATTTCTCATATTCCCTCTTAATATTTCTCTTTGTCTCTCTGGTGTATATGTATATTTTACCACAATTAAAAAAAATGATGTATGAGTTTTCTACTACAAAAGGATTTTGAAAAAAATTGAAAAATGTAGTCTATGGTTCTATTATCCAGGAAAAGCTACTATTCTGAGTGCCCATGCCCTACGGCAACAACTTTAAAAAAATGTACTGTATGAAAGAAATCTATGCCCACACACATAGCAACATTCTTCATAATAGCCAAAAGGCTATTTTGATTTTCCATCAACCCACATGCCTATTGATGGAAAAAAGAATAAATATAAAATGATACATGTGTATGGTGGAATATTACTCAGTCTTAAAAAGGAAGAAGATTCTGGGGCCAGTAGGTGTTGTGGTGGTTAAGGGCGCTGGACTCCCACGTGGTCGACTGCCCTTTGAGTCCTGGACCTAGCAGCTTGCTTTCTCACTTTCCCTTCCTCTCTCCTTTCTCTCTCTCTGTCCCTCTTTGGTCAAATTTAAATATAAATAAATAAGTAAAGCTAAATAAAATAATTCTTTTTTAAAAAAAGGAAGGGAATTCTGACACACTGCAACCTAGATGAACACTGAGGACATCATGCTAAGTAAGGGCAGAGAAGCCAGTCATGAAAAGAAAAACACTGTATGGTCTCACCTATAGGGGTACCTAGGGTTGTCACTCACAGAAACCGAAAAAAGAAGGGTGATTGCCAGAATGAGTCTGGGAGGAGGAAAGGGGAGCCATTGTTCATTGGGTACAGAGATTGAGTTTTGCAAGATGAATGGTTCTGGAGATGCATAGTAGTTGTAAGTATACAACAATACGAATCTGCTCAATACCGCTGTACAGTTGAAGATGGTTAAGATGGTACATTTTATGCATGTGTATTTATTTATTTATTTAAATTTGACCTGCCAACCGCAGATACATATGTTTTATCACAATTAAAAATAAATACAATGTATGAGTTTTCCACTACAAAGCTTTTTGGAAAAAAAAAAAAAAAGAAATGTGATCTATGGTCCTGTTATCCAGAAAAAGTACTATCCACATTCTGCAGTAATTTCTCTTGGTCTTTTCTTTTCCCGTGCAGTTTTGTTAGGTTTCCGTGGCTATAGGTGCTGACTGTATAATGCCCCGTATGTATTTTTTTCTTTGGAAAGCCTCATTATGAACGGCTGTATGAATTCTGTTACATACATTATCACAGTTTATTAAGTTTCTTGTAGTATTGGATACTTTCTTCCAATTTTATACAATATTATATAACACTATGATGAACATCATCATGTTTAAAGCTTTTCAGTACGCTGGAATATTTCATAGGCTTACATTTCTAAGTGTGAAATTCCTGAGTCAAAATACATAAACATTTTTTTTTGTGGTAGGGAAATGCTACTTAGAAGTAATGGGGTTGGCCCAGCCAGTGGCATGGTGGTTATGGTAGCTGGATCCCATATGACCAACTGCATGGTTTGAGTCCCAGACCAGAAGGTTTGGAAAACATTCTGGGCATGTGTGCATGCGTGCTGAAAATCCCAAGAGAATAATGAAGATGAGATTGTGGTGTGGCCAACCTTCTGGGGGAGCATTTTTCTCCACCAGCCACTTCCCCCTACTTCCTCACCCCTGTCTCTGGCACACACATGTGCCCTCTGGCAAATCAAAAAGAAAAAAGTAGTGGGGTGACTGTTTTCCCCTAGAAATCCGATGTGTGCATTACTGTGTGGAAATCATACAATTTCCATCAGCCCAATCCTAGTGCACTTCTTTGTTCATAATTTGTTATCTAGCTGTAGAGTACATTTAGTGAGAAGTGTATTTTGGATATAAATATGAGTAATCTTTTTGAAAAAAAAAACAAGAAAGCATCTAAGTTTCTACTAGAAGGATAAAGACGAATTGAAAATCATATGACATTTGATATGAAGTTATGCACGAAATAATCATAACGGACATTTTAAATGATTCCTTGCTTAGAAATAGATTCCTGCAATGCTAGTGACCCGTTATTCTATAACTACGAAACTTTAGGCATTTGACACACATTACTGCTAACTCTTGGAATAACTTCACTTTAAAAATGAGAGAGAAAAATTGTCAAAGAGGTTGATAACTTGTCTAAGGTCAGTTGATAAAGAGCAGAGTGTAGCTTTAAATTAAGGCCTTCCAACCCGGAACCTTCCAGGCTCACTTGGCCCCCCTATCTAGGTGCCAGATGAGCACTTGGTGACCAGCGGCAGAGGGAGCCATTGCCCTTGACATTAAATGTGCACTTGGGAGATAGAGGGTCCCTGGCCATCTTGCCTCTGACTTGGTCGGGACCTCATGCAGGTCTAGGAACTTGGAGGCAGATGTCTTGTGGTTGTAGAGAGAGATTGGTCAGAGAGAGAGAAAAGAAGGAGAGACCAGAGATTACGATGGTGTTCCATTGCAAGACAGGGTGAAGTCCAGGCGGCAGGGGGTCACTTCACACAGGTCTACTGGAGGCTCTCATTTCCCCCTCCCTGACCATGAGAGTAATGTGATACTAATTTTAGAAAACCTTTTTTTATACTACATATAATACAAAGCTAATTTATTGACTGTTCAAAGGATTGTTACAAATCAATGAATAATTAACAATCCAACACAAAACTGGAAAAATGGCATGGAAAAGTAGATCACATAAAAGAAAAATATATTGATAATAAAAATATTTGAGAACTGATTAACCTTCTAATTTTAAAAAATGCATATTAAATTGAGATACAATTTTTCACCTGTTTAATCGTCATCCAATTTATTTCAAGCATTTATTTCTTCTGAGAGAGAGAAGGAGAGGGAGCTCCCCATCCGATCCCCACACCAGGAGTAGTGGGGTGACTGTTTTCCCCTAGAAATCCGATGTGTGCATTACTGTGTGGAAATCATACAATTTCCATCAGCCCAATCCTAGTGCACTTCTTTGTTCATAATTTGTTATCTAGCTGTAGAGTACATTTAGTGAGAAGTGTATTTTGGATATAAATATGAGTAATCTTTTTGAAAAAAAAAACAAGAAAGCATCTAAGTTTCTACTAGAAGGATAAAGACGAATTGAAAATCATATGACATTTGATATGAAGTTATGCACGAAATAATCATAACGGACATTTTAAATGATTCCTTGCTTAGAAATAGATTCCTGCAATGCTAGTGACCCGTTATTCTATAACTACGAAACTTTAGGCATTTGACACACATTACTGCTAACTCTTGGAATAACTTCACTTTAAAAATGAGAGAGAAAAATTGTCAAAGAGGTTGATAACTTGTCTAAGGTCAGTTGATAAAGAGCAGAGTGTAGCTTTAAATTAAGGCCTTCCAACCCGGAACCTTCCAGGCTCACTTGGCCCCCCTATCTAGGTGCCAGATGAGCACTTGGTGACCAGCGGCAGAGGGAGCCATTGCCCTTGACATTAAATGTGCACTTGGGAGATAGAGGGTCCCTGGCCATCTTGCCTCTGACTTGGTCGGGACCTCATGCAGGTCTAGGAACTTGGAGGCAGATGTCTTGTGGTTGTAGAGAGAGATTGGTCAGAGAGAGAGAAAAGAAGGAGAGACCAGAGATTACGATGGTGTTCCATTGCAAGACAGGGTGAAGTCCAGGCGGCAGGGGGTCACTTCACACAGGTCTACTGGAGGCTCTCATTTCCCCCTCCCTGACCATGAGAGTAATGTGATACTAATTTTAGAAAACCTTTTTTTATACTACATATAATACAAAGCTAATTTATTGACTGTTCAAAGGATTGTTACAAATCAATGAATAATTAACAATCCAACACAAAACTGGAAAAATGGCATGGAAAAGTAGATCACATAAAAGAAAAATATATTGATAATAAAAATATTTGAGAACTGATTAACCTTCTAATTTTAAAAAATGCATATTAAATTGAGATACAATTTTTCACCTGTTTAATCGTCATCCAATTTATTTCAAGCATTTATTTCTTCTGAGAGAGAGAAGGAGAGGGAGCTCCCCATCCGATCCCCACACCAGGGTCCACCCCTAGCCTTAGCCAACATCATGGGCGTGAGTATGCCCGGTGTACAGAGGATGACCTCTGGACTTGAAGCTGGGACCTTTTCATGTAGCTGCAGCGTCCTGAGCGTGGCATTACCACTGCAACAGCCATGGTTGGCTGACTTTCTAGAACCTTGTTTCATTTATCGCTTTCCAAAAGCTGCTCTAGATTTGATGAACATTTAGATTTTTCCAACGGAATTTCTCTTAGGGCAAAAATTGTTCTGGGAAAGGGTAGAGGAGAAAGAAAAAAAACCCTTATTTTATTATGTTATAGTCCCTTTCTTGGAAATTCTCATTACCATATGAAAGACTCTGAGAAGTCCTGCAGTTAAAGCCAAAGCACACGTACAATGTATCATTACTTCACCCAATGTCTTCCAGACCTATTTGATAACCTTTGTCTCTTCTACAAAACCCTTGCGAATATACTTGAGTGCTGATTTGCAGGATAGATTCTTGTGCAAGAACAAAGGAAGTTGTTCCGTTCCTAAGATCTCTGGCACGATTTTGTGGTGGACTTCCTGTGATTGTTCACGTTATTTGGCTGTTTGGAGCC